CCAGGACAAGGGGAATGGCTTCCCACTGCCAGAGGGCAGGGTTAGATGGGATACTGGGAAGGAATCCTTCCCTGTGAGGGTGGGCAGGCCCTGGCACAGGTTGGGCAGAGAAGCTGTGGCTGCCCCTGGATCCCTGGAAGTGTCCCAGGCCAGGCTGGACGGGGCTTGGAGCAACCTGGGTTGATGGGAGGTGTCCCTGCCCATGGCAGGGGGTGGCACTGGATGGGATTTAAGGTCCCTTCCCACCCAAACCATCTCAGATTCCCTGTAATAAAGTCTTTTTCCACAGGCAGAGGGAGTGCCAACTTGTTCCTTTGGGAAAGCTCTTGTAAAGAGAGAAACAAAATAGGACAGCTGAGATCTTCACCTTGCTGTGAACTTCATTCTTTTCATGTTTCTTGAAGTAAATACAGAATATGTTTCATTTTCTCCCTTAGTTTAGTTATTTCCAGCAGCAGTTAAATGGTCCTGGGTATCACAAAATGATGGCCCTGGGATCATCATTCCTTTTCCCAGAGCTTCCCACAGCTGTGGCTCCAGGAGATTGTCTCTCTTCTGCAGAGAGAACATTTGAAAGCTGCTGAGTCTGTATTAGAGAAACAGCCCCTTGTACTTCAGGAACTTCTCAGCCTGAGAGCCTTTTCCTCACCATGGAATGGGAGATGTTACCAGAGAATAATATTTCCATATTAACTCTGAGTGGGAAAGGGAATTAAGAGAGGTTTGGTTACTTCCTGATGTCTCCCCTGGTTGCTCATCCATTGTTGATGTTAGACCTTGTCCTTCAATACCACGAGCCAAAATCCACTTGCAATAGTCCTGTTCTTCACAGTGTCCAAGAAACATGTTAATGCCCATCTCCTTCCCACTGAATCCTGGAATTTTAGGATGGTGTGGGTGGGAAGCAACTGTAATGCTCATTTAATCCCTCCCCCCTCTGCCATGGGCAGGGACACCTCCCACCAGCCCAGGTTGCTCCAAGCCCCGTCCAGCCTGGCCTGGGACGCTCCCAGGGATCCAGGGGCAGCCACAGCTTCTCTGGGCACCCTGTGCCAGGGCCTGCCCACCCTCACAGGGAGGAATCCTTCCTAATCTCCCGTCTCTCCCTGCCCTCTGGCAGTGGGAAACCATTCCCTGTGTCCTGTCCCTCCATCCCTTTTCCAGATTCCCTCTCCAGCTCTTTGTAGTCTCCCTTCAGAAGTATTTCTGGTTTCTCTGGGTCTCTCTCCACACTCCTCACGTGTTTCCCCCATCAATGTGCTTTCCCTGCCAGTACAAATTACCTGTCCAAGCCATTTAATGGCAGCATTTGAATTTATTTGAGTTGGGTGTGTCCTTTAACACGCACCTCTGAGTTCCCTGCTGGGGGTCAGTCTGCACTGCACTCTGTGTAGGCAGGGCAGGGGCTCAGGGCAGTTCTGCCTGGCAGTAACTTGCTCAGAATTCCAGCAGCTTTTCCCCACCTCTGCCCAGCTGTGCTGTGCTTTAACCCTCCAGGCCTCCTCCTGTGCTCCTGGTGCCTTCACTCCCCCAGCATCTCTTCTTTAACTTCCTCCTGGAAGCAGGAATAACCCCCATGTCTGTCCCTGCTTATCCTGCTGTGCTGGATGGCTCTTTCCTGCTTTCCACAGAGCCACATCCCTTCTCTCTTGCTGATCCAGCAGTGCTTCCCCAAACGTGCACGGCATCTTTCATCCCTTGAGGTGCCACTGAACGCTGTTCCCAGTGTCCCTGCTCCATGTGGTGTCTCCAGGATCTCACACAACTTCTCTGCTACCTGTCAGTTCAGGTGCTTTTAGAATGAAATGTGTGCTTGGGCATCAGAGTTTAAATTAAGGAGTAAGAGTTTAAAGACACTAACAAAGGGCAGCAGAGATAAAAAATGAGGAGTTTTACAATGAACAAATGTGTTTTAATGGCAAAATGAATTAGCACTGTTTTATAGAGGAGTTATGGGATGGAGGGTACAAATGGGAGGCTCTGTGCCTGGGAATTTTTCATAAGGAAATGTGATTTGCGATTAGTGATTTGTGATTTTTCAGAAGGCAATGTGATTTGTGATTAGACACTTGTTAACTCTTCCAGTGCATTAAAAATGCTGGTGTTATCCCTGTTTGAATGTTACATTAAATGGCTTTGGCAGACCTTGCTAGTTAATGCAGATATATAAATAAT